CGTACTACTGTATCTCCCACAAATATCAAATGTTTCAGATCTTATTTGCTTCACATGAGTTCTTTCAACTATGTACGTCAACATAATTTTAATTGGCAGATTATTTATTATGTATTTAATTAATATAGTATAAACTGATAACAGCTCACAATCAGAAAAAGACTATATAGCCAATAGTTAGGTGCATTTGACAGTACACGAACAGTGAATATGAACGCATCTGGACTCCATTGGGTGTTCGGATGTTGAATGAACAAGTGTCATGGACCAATTGTAAGTCTGAGGTCAAACAGCTGGTACTGTTGCGAAGAAAGAGATATCATGCCACTAATTAGTCTAAAAGTTAGGTGCATTTGACAGTACACGAACAGTGAATATGAACGCATCTGGACTCCATTGGGTGTTCGGATGTTGAATGAACAAGCGTCATGAACCAATTGTAAGTCTGAGGTCAAATAGCTGGTACTGTTGCGAAGAAAGAGGTATCATGCCACTAATTAGTCTATCAGTGTTCATAGCTTATGGTTGTCGTTTCGCTGGTTCCCGGTGGCCCTTATGGCAAGTAGGACGCAGGTAGCTAGTAATCGCCATATTGTTCCACTGGACCGGGATTCCGGCTCAAAGTCACGTGACTAAGTGACGTAATTTGAAAACATTCTAATATTCGTTTTCTATAAACAAGTCTTCTTTACGCCATGCCAATACATTCTGCCTGCTCAGATTTTCATATTTGAGATGTTTCTGGCATTTCCCGATATATCTATGCAAATTTATAACAAAATAAACAGTTATATATTCGCCCAATTTTCGAGAGTAAAAGGAAACCCTGCTCTAGGGTCACGAGCGTAGGCGCTGACGTCAGATAACTAAGAGAAATAGAACAAGCAACGAGAAAGTGACAGAACAATCAGAATGCCGGAACCGTTACTATTTACCGGCTTATTGTAGCTTGGTACGCCATGACATTTGAGGCGGGAACCAACCAATGGTTGTTGTTAGCCAATAGGTATTCTTTCATCGTGTTTTATCTGAAACGAAATGTACGAAGGCGTACTTCAATGGGCCAGCTGTTAGGCTTCGGCGTGTAGCTTTGTTATTGACAAATACCAGTGACCTGTGGATCTGGACAAATTTTGATTAGACGTACA